GCGCTAGCAATACCAGCACCGTTATGTGCAGTGACCTCTGTGCCTCTGGGTTTGAAAGATTCAGTTACACACTGATCCGGAACTCTTGATTCGCGACCAGGTGGTCGGCTTAATAATTGTCGCTTGGGTGGGGGTCAATTTGACCCCTAAGATCTCAAAAACTGAAATAGCTAGAAACACAAAATTTACAGAGTGGCTTTACCTGTAGGTGGAATAACATGTGTCGAAATCTAAGGATCCAAGGTCATGACCTTGCAGTCAAAGCAGGTAAAACAAGGTCAAACTCTAGATCGGAGTCCAGAGTGTCCCAGGCCTCCTCACGCATCCGCCGTGAACCTAAATACCCGTTCTAAACAAAAGTTCAGCGGTGTTCATTCAAGGCCAGTGACGTTTTGATCTTTAAAAAATCACAGCGATGAAAACTACAAAATTGCTGTGATTTTTTATTCAAATAAGCGTCAACGATTGCGCTAGGCGGTGTATTCCTGAAAACAGAATGCTGCCTGGGTTATTTTAGGTCAGAGACCTAATCTGACCTTTAAAAATCCCATGAAACACGTCTGTTGCGCTCCCTGGCATTAATCAATCAGAAATGAACATCAAAAACTTTCCTTTAAAGTGAGCCCTCAGGTGAAAAAGCAGGTCAGTTTTAACCTCAGTCTAACCCCCATACATGATCCTTGGTCAATGGAATCTGTTACAATGCTAAATGCAGTTGGTGTATTGCCTAAGATACCATCTCAGATATATGGCTTCGTCTAACACCTGGTGTTACATCAGATTGAACGATTCCCTAGAAATGGCGTTCGCTGACAGCCAAGACCTGGCTTGGACCTGCCGTGGGTCAGTGACCTTGTAAGGTGCATCTAACTTTTTACATCAAAAGGTCCGCTATTCCATTGCGTATAGCTACGCAGAGTTTGGCGCAGCTACGCCGTGACGTTCGGAAATCATCCTTGAAAATTTTCGGGGGATCAAATTGATCACCCACCGGAGCGCGTGTTTAAACTCAAATTCTGGCTATACAAAATGCCTTTCGAGGGGCTAGATTACCTCAAGGCTTCGGGATCGCTTCAAAACTCCACCGTACCTAAATCATCATGCTGGAATAATTTTTGCCAGTTCCAATTATGCTCAGAGAACTTCCTAATTCAGCATGACTTGCGATGATGATTAACTACGCATTCACAACTAGAGATGAGAACCGCTGTACGCGGAACGAACATCATTGGCATAACTCAAAAGACGAAATATACGGGCCCGTAAATCACTTGACGCCATACCGGCACACGTGAGCCAACTGCAGACGTATGCTGTGCCGCAGCGCGTGCGCGTGATGCGGCGCAGCTGGCGGCGCCCGCGCGTGAGATCCGGGAAAAGGGCTGTGGCGTGTATGAACGAACCTTGACAAACTTAAAAGCCTGCGCGTAAAAGCCTGCGCGGCCGGATTGATTGGAGTTCCGGAGCTGCGCGGCCGGAGCGATTGGAGCTCCGGAGCTGCGCGGCCGGAGCAATTGGAGCTCCGGCACATGTGACGTTGTCGAGAATAGTTTGAGTCTTGAGCCACGTCGGGAGGTTTCAAAATTGCAGTCAAAGTCACTAGGTCCGACAATCTGACAACTTGGATTGTTTGACTGCGCGACAGATGAGAGTTTCGGCATATTTGGAAGTCTTAGGACATATGTTTATCCATGAAGAGCAGCGAATAGAAACGAAATCTGCCCATGCATATGTAGGCATGGTTTTCCGAACCACAGTGTTCTGGACAACGAAAGGCGTTTTGGATCTCAGGTTGCCGAAACTGTTCAAAACACCCCCCCCCCCAAAAAAAAAGAAGAAGAAATTCAGGATTATCCTACTCGAAGCGCTCTCAAGTCTAATAACTGACGAATATCGTGTAAACAAGGCACCGAATTTATACTGAAGGTCTTACGACCAGGAAGTGTTTTGAAACAATGAAAGACACTTCAGACTGGCACAGAGGCACCATAGAACGTGCACAACAGCCTTTACAGATTGCTTTGCAGCCTCTCCGCGAGGCTTTTATAAGTTAGTTGCGACCACACACTGCGCATTTCGCACCAGAAAAGTTCACTTTTGTCATCCTAGTCGGGCAGTCCTCACCATACACTTTCTGCCAGAATGCCTACCACAGCACGCAAGCATACACCGAGATGGTCGCAATTTCTCGGGTTCCGAGGCTAGACAACCCTAGCACGAATGCTGCGCTCCATGCGAGGCTGCTGAAGCGATAACCTTGGGCTCAGAGCAAGGCCATGCTCTCGAAGAGGGCGACCAGACCGAGAGTCTATGACCGAAGGACAGACCATGCCCGCGAGCTCACCGCCGTGAGCAGTGGCCGCCATAGCGTTATCCCACGGCACGACACTCACTCCCATTTGCTGCCGTCTCCCGGGCTGGAGGTGGAAAAGCCTACCGAAGGCAGCCCCGAGCCAAGGACCTCCAACCACCTTGGCGCCGCGTATCAGCGTGGCGAGCATTACCCAATTGGGCTACCGAGGGGCTTGAGTATAGAATCGTCTGCTTTCTTATCCCATATCCTATGGCCAAGTTCGTTCTCACCTGTGTGGTGTGCTTGGTAACTGATTGCCTTTCCAAATCCTCCCCCTATTAGCCCCACTAGGGTGTTTGCCGGTTTGAGTCTGTCGCCGTGGTTGAAGGAAGTTCGTGACAACTGACAATCTTCTTTCCTGACAGCCTCATGGTGCATGCCAAGTTGCGTTGTCAGCCATTTCACATCGCCCTCTAGTCTGCAGCGTCTCCAAGTCTGCAGAGTCTCCGATTCTGCAGAGTCTCCCACTCTGTAGTATCATCCAGTGTGCAATGCTCACATCCTGCGGCATTCCTCAGTCTGCAATACTTTCCAGTCTCCACCGTCTTCCGAACTGCAGCATCTCCCATGCTGAACCATCACCATGTCTGCAATATTCTCCAGTCTGTAACGTCTCCCAGTTTTCATCGTCTACCAGTGTTCGGCGTCTCCCAGTCTGCAGCATCTCCCAGTCTGTAATGTCTCCCAGTCTGCGTTCTCTTCCAGTCTGCAGCGTCTCCCAGTTTGCAGCGCCTCTCAGCCTGCATGTGCATCGCCCCCACCGGCGGCACCGCCCACTCGTCCCCGCCCCTCACCACCAGACGCTCGGTCCATCGCCGCAGCGGCCGCGCGCCGGCGTCCCGTGTCGCTCCCCGCCGCCCGGGTCGGCGAGGACTGGCAGCCTGTTTACACGAGCGTCACGGGCCGCTGCAAGAGCCGGCTCCGGCGGCGGCGGCGGCGCCCGGCCGTCCCTCACAGTCACCGGCTCCGTTTGTTGATGGCCGTCGACGGCGCGTCGGTCTTGGCCGACTCTCGCCGTCGAAGACGCGTCGGTCCTGGCCGACTCTCGCCGTCGCGGATACCGCTTTGGGTTCGGTGGGGGGGGGGGGGGAGGGGGGAGGCACGACAGCTTTGGCCGCAGTGGTCGTTTTTCGGGTTTTCGGGCAGAGTGTCAGCGCGGCGGAAGCGCGGCCACCAGGGCGCGCTCGCAGGAGGAGGCCTGTGTTGTTTGTACACGGGACGGAATAAACATTTCCACCCATAATAACGTTCAGCGTAACAAAAAGCTTGGCATAACTTCTCAGAGTAAAAAACGGTGGAGATAATCGGATACTATTGCTTAAGGTTTAGAGTAAGACTGGTGCTGCCAAAGCTGAGCTCTGATGATCAAAATCGCGTAGCTACGGAAACCTGCATCTATTCCGCTCGAAGGCATCGGAAATGTGCCGGGGGATTCGATGAATATCCGAACGTTATCGTCAAGAACAACGCCTCGGGGCCGCCGGGTAGGCTAAAACAATTCTGGTTTACTTTGCCGAGCAAATTATCCTTTCCCGCAATGCCAACGTTTCTACAAAATGGACGGCCAACCAGCTTTCCCAGAGTTGGCATAACACTGAAAGAATGCAGAGCCCTGTTCCAGAAAATATGACGTCAGTTATGGCACAGATCATATACATAAATGACGTCTCTTGCTTACACTCCATAAACACCAGGCTCGTTTACTTAAAGCCGCGTTTCAAAGATTCAATGTGATGGCCCAGAACCCAGGCACTAAACAAAACTGATGCATCGCCTAGTGGACCTCACTTACCACATCCGTCAGAAAGGCCCTCCAGAGGTCAGGAAGACGGACAATCGTGCCGAAACGGTGCCTCACCAAATGCGACGTCTGATGCTATGTCAGCAGTTCAGACTCAGCCGTTTACGGCTACCCGACGTCGGTTAACAGACTGATGCAGAATGCTAAATAGGATACCCGCTTATCAACGGAGACGAAAGAACGAAAAACTGCACACTGTACATCTACATGCAGGGTCCACTTGTTTGCGCCATTCAGAACTTAAAGTGGTACTAATTTCACTTCACCACAACCTAAAGTAAACCCAAAATGCCATGTGCGTCATTAACACGATGCCGACTACAGGCTGTCAATAGGAACGCCAACTTTTAGTCAAGAACCGAACGCTCAATCTAGACGTATCACGCTTTAAATAACCAAACCATGATAGTAATGACTTTGCACAAATCGCATTTAAATACACGTGACTGTGGTAAGCCTCCCGACCTGAGACGCACCCATGTTAGCCGGCGTGATTGCCACATGCATAACACCAAGCACCCGGGAGCGGCAGTGGGTCAGAAGGCACTCCTCCACCTCTGTGTGTCGAAGCCGTAGCCCGGCCTGCCGTTGTCTAATCGAAGGCGGGCCGGCCGGGAGTCATCAGCGCTGGCGGCGGCGCTGTCCGTCGCCGCGCGGCCGGCATGTGACGCCCCCTCCCCGCCGCACGTGCGGCCCCGGTCGCCGCAGCGCAGCGCGGCGCCGCGGCGCCCGCGGCCGATCGATGGTACCTGGGCCGGGTCCATGCGGCGGCGCCGGTCACGGCTCCGGTCACAGGGCGGCGGAGCACCGGCGGCGGCGACGGTCGCGTCGCGACTGACCTCTCACCTGCGGGCGGCCGGCGGGAGCCTGCTGCCGCCACTCCGGGGCCGGCGGCGGCGGCCGACTGCCGCGCCGGCCGCCGGCCCCGGCCCCGCGCACGCGCCCGCCGCCGCCGCCTGTTTGTGAAAGGCATCGATCACGGCGCCAGCCGCGCCGGCCGCCGAATTAGCGGCCACTCGGTGGGTGGGGTGAGTGGATGAGTTTTACGGCATAATGTGATGAAACGGCCGGTCGGGCCGGCCCGCCGGTGCGGAGTCACGGGATGTGACCGAGGACTGCTTCCGCGCCGGCCGCGTGACGTGCCGTCGCAGGGCCGGGATTCGGTGGTGCGGTCTGCTTGCCGTGATAGGGCAAGGGTACACTCGAGCACAGCACGGCAGCGGGCGACCCAGATTTACACCATGCAAGGCGGTCACCGAACCGTAGCGGCTTATAAGGATAAGACGGGCATGCAGCAGCGGTAGCATAAACGGACGTGCAAAGACAGAAACGGAGGTGTGGACCACAGTGCTTCACGCCCATGATGATCCCCGCTCCTCCCCGAGATGCGGCACAGAACAGCAGAGATGACCCTCCGCCCCCTGGCGGCCAACCACCCGGCGCCGTCCGCACCAGCCAGCGCCCGCCCTTGCGCCCGCCCCCGCCCCTGCGGTGCCTGTTTCGTGGCGGAAGGGGGGGGGGGGGCGGGGGCCCGGACCGCGCTGTCTCGTTACCGGCACGTTTGGTCGCTAGCGCCCCGGGCCAGACAGCTGATTGTGACGAACGACGCCACTCCGCCACGCCTCCGGGCTGTTGCCCCGCAATGGCAGACGCCGTATGTCAGCCGGGAGCCCGGCCCGGCGTCTCGCAAATGTAAGGGAATTGGGACGCGGCAACTGTCTGCCATATTGCTGCTTCTGGAAGACCCTGCCGCCGAGTGATTGCTCTCCGGTGCTGGGCGCAGGACGCAGAATGGGAGACATCGAGCAGAGATGGGGACGGGAGGTCAATTGCAACATTTCACTGTTAGTGTTGGCGATGTTTATGTGCATGGTGCAATGTTGATTGCAAACCTCAATGTGCTGAGTGATCGTCGCTGCTTGCATTACGCAAGAATGCAACAGTTCAAGGTCTACAGACACGTTTGGTCAATAAGCTGCAAAACGAAAGCATTTCTTTTCAGTATATACCACGGAACCACGGACATTTGCCGTAGCAGAAGTCTTTCTTTTACATCGAGAGTGTTGCAGTGGGAATATCCTAATAGGTTTAGATGGATCCAATGCGCGCGGCTCTCTAAAGCGGTCGCCATCCTCTCGCACTTCCACTGCATAATAAAGATACACTGTGATTGTGTTATTGGCTGAAAAGACATTGAGGCCAATCCCGCACCGCGTAACGACAGCCTGCTGCCCTTCCCCACCGGCGTGTGTGCTGGCTATGCGGCTTCTCGGCTGCCGCTCCTTGTCATGGAGCGTCAGCAGACCGCGGCAGTGTGGGTGGGTTGACTTCAGATTTGGCAGCCAAGAGAGCGTTCTAAAGGACACCGCACACTGGCCGTCTCGCTAGTTTATCGGGCAGAAACAGAAGACGTTTGTTAGCTGTTTTGCAACGGTGATTCAACAGTGCGGAAGAAAAAGCGCTTCAACTGAAGTTCAAGGATGTCGCTTAAGAGCAAATAAGTGGCACGGCAACAAGGTTGTGGTAGGACAGCAGATGTCCACGCTGCTGGTATTCCTAAATAACTTCATCTATGATTCGACCCTTCAAGTCGAGTGCCCTTAGTGTTTCTGATCTTTGAAATACCTCAAGATGTGGTGTTGTAAATGTCTTAAAGGGAATGTTCCATATTGATATGGGTGTTTGAACTGAAATAGTCATCTTGAAGATCACTAGATACAGTTCTCAACCTTGCCCTTCTTAAGACATAAAACATTCTAGTTATTCAGCTAAACGTCCGCAAATATTTGCAGACCTTTCGGGGACACTATTTCAAGGTCACTTAGACATCCATGACGCCATAGTAACGTCATTTAAATCCCGCTATTCCATCGGTCATGCGGTGATCAAAGCCGTCAGCCATCGCCGCCGCTTCGGAGAAACTCCAGCCACTATCTAAGCCTTTAGATGATAGAGGAAAACTGGAAAACGGTGGACATGTGAGGATTTATGCTATTTCTCTGCCGAATAGTCCATTTGCTTTAGCCTGGAGCGAACGAATGGCTTACAATCGACACGGAAAGTGTAAAGAGCTGTAGAAATGACACCTCCTTATTGCTGAATTGGTAACAGTACCTGAACTGTAGAGAGATAGGCGTGACAAAATTCGCACGCATTTTTCACTTCGAATATGCGGCGAAATTTATCTAACAAAGGGACTCGAAACCAGCAGCTGCCGTTGGCGTATCTATATTCACTACTTCAGTCGAATGGTCATTGGCTAATGGCTTGGTATTCATTTACCCGTGACACAAGTGTCAGTCATGGTGCCTCCACAATGAATGAGATCAACCAAGGACTATGCACGCAATGGACGTATCTGTCACATCGCCACCGCCAGCAGCGCGAGACAGTTATGACTCGCACGCAACACGCGCAGTGATATATGCACTGCGTATACAGCAACCTGGAAATGTGTCGCGCTCTAGTGAGTTTTGGGATGAACGTGCCAGAGCGGTGTCAAGAGCAGTAAGGCTATTACTACCGAACCAAGAATATGATCATGCAGTCTTCTCACCCACAGGGTGGATTATTGCAAATCCAGGGGGGCTGGTTGGTGATCGAGGAGCCTCAGCCCCCTCCCCCGACACTCCGCACGTACCGTCTTTATCGGCGGGCGCTAAAGGCACCCATTCGGAGCGCGTTTGCACCGCCTGAAAGCGCGGCAGCCGCCCGCTCCATGCCAAGTGAGCCGGCGGCGAGCGTCAGCCCTGGACCGGCTGATGCCGCCGCCGGGCCGGGGCTTCGGACGATCGACGTCGGCCGCCTCATAAATATCCGATCGGGCCGCTGCCATGGACGCTGCCAGCCGGGAAAATTGGCACCGCCGGCCGGCCCCAGCGGGCGGCGCCAATTGTTCGCGGTGCGCCCACCACGCGTCACGTCGCTGCCGCACCGCCCCGCGGGGCTCACGGTCGCGCCGCCCACTGAGCGCAGCACCCAGCACGCCCAAATGAACGCGTGCAGGACGTCGGCAGAGGCCGGTCTTATGCATAAGGCATGCGGCGAGCACCAGAGACGCGGTCCAAGGTCTTATTGCGTGTGTTGTGTTTTTTGTTTTTTTTTTGTTATCGGCCTTCTGCGGCGCACGGCTGCGAGTATTAGTGTTGACTTCTTTGTTATGTAAATGATGGCACAGCGATGCGTACTGGTAATTGTGGCGCAGTCACATGTACTTTTGCTTTTCCCGTCGCTCCTGCACGCGGCAAATAAGGCTAGTGGTACAGTCCCAGGTATTTTGTAAAAAAAACCTTGCGTGTTCTGTTGGCAAAACAAGGGATCTCACGCGCAGCGGGATATGACATGGATGAGGAATCATATGTCAGCAACGTCACGCAAATAACCAACTGACGAAGCAAATGTATTGATCTCAAGATTTACCAGGTCAGAATTGGCGGCCGAGCTTGGAGGCAGCACGGTTTTTAGTCTCCGTGTCAGGCAGTTATGCCAGACATGATTTGAGCTCCTCAAAACAACTTGAGAGTTTGTCAACCAGATCTGCGAGTCATTCCATCGCCAACACATTGCAAAACGTGAGATTTTCCACATGGTGTCGTGCTGCCGATAACACTCATAGTTCATTGCTTGCCGCTTATCTTTCGATGTGACCGTGCCGCCGCAAGCAGGCGGCAAACAGCTCAGAGAGTATGGTCTGAAAACTACGGTCCCTACTGGTTATCTTTCCTCTAATACGCTGCATCCTATTTGTAGATATAACATATGCGATTTTTATCAATTAAAGTACGAAAGTCAACATGATTGTTTTACCGGGACAACTGAATAAACCGTTAAACGGGGAGATACCGAAACAACTGGATAAAGAGGCGCCCTAAGTTCCTCAGAGGCAGCTATAGCGTGCCAGCGTCGGCCGGTACGAAAATTCCTGATAACTCAGCGCCTTGTCAAATGGTCGATATGAACGACAGACGCTAAACAAGTTTTGGATTTATTGAGTCCATCCCAGCTGAAAGTTTTTCATTGTCGTTCCGCTCATAATTACAACCACCACGATAATGATTATAAGGAGCCTTTTACCACCATAAGATGACCGGAGCTTTTCGACTCAGCGAATTCACGAGAAAACAGCGGGAGGAGACAGTCCCTTGTGACGATTCCGGTTGAATGACAGAAATACGAGACTTGATTTGGAACTATTTCAGCCACGAGAGAATCCAGTTATATCACCACGAATTTATTTAGTTCGGCCGCTGGTGATGGATGAGCCGCTGACGAAAAAGAGCCGGTGGAGAGCCGCTGAATCGGCAGCTGATGGTGTTGAACTTCTGGTGGCAGACTTCCAGTCATGACCTTTATTCCGACCATGAGTCGCTGGGTCATTTAAATTTGGTCGGTGGTGGTGATGATTGCTGGTGATTTATCGATGGTGATGGTCACTTCAACCGTGAGGTACAAACTCCTGGTGAGGAGGCGGGTGAGATGAGCCGCTGGTGCTGATCGGATGGTGATGGGCCACTAAAGTGACGGCCACTGATGGCGAGCCGTTGATAATCGTCTCGTGACAAAAAGGCATCTAATTGTTAGCTGCTGGTGGGTACATACAACCGATGCAGCTGACGCACCCTTCACACGCGCCTGGGTGACCAGTTGGATACCCTTCGCTCGGGTGGGGGTCAATTTGACCCCTCCCCACCCGAGCTCGTGTTAAAACTCAATAGCTAACTAAGTAGGTTAAGCTGCTGATGCTAGGTCGCTGGGCGATCAACTGACGGTAGTGAGTTTCTGGCATGAAAGCTGGTGATAAGCCACTGGTGACATTCCGGTAAGCTGCTTGTGATGTTACCAAGCCAGTTGTTACCAAGCCACTTGTGATTAGCTGCTGGTGGAGAACCACTCACAACAAACTGCTGACAATGTCTGACAGTGATCTGTCGTGATGAGCCGCTGGTGGTGAGCCTCCGGTGATGATCCATTAGTGGTGATCCACTGGTGATGAGCCACTGGTGATGTGCCGTTGGTGATGAGCCACTGGTAATGGGTCGCTGGTGATGAGCAGTTAGGGATGAGTTGCTGGTGATGAGCCGCTGTTGATGAGCCGCCAGTGATGAGCCGCTGTTGATGAGCCGCCGGTGATGAGCCAGCGGTGATGAGCCGCTAGTAATGAGCTGCTGGTGGTGAGCCGCTGGTGATGAGCCGCTGGTGTAGAGCCGCTAGTGATGAGCCGTTGGTGATGAGCCGCTGATGATGATTTCCTGGTGACGAGCTGTTGGTGATGAGCCGCTATTGATGAGCCGCTGGGGGGCCGGAAGTAATTAAATCAATGAGATGCGGCTCGGAGGCGTAGTGCTCAGGCTCGGATGACAGCTGCGCCGCAGGGCGCCATTATCGCCGGCGGGTCGCCACGTCACGGGACTCCCCTGGGAGCGACGCTGTGTCGGATCGGGCTCCTATGGCCCGGCGACGACTCCCGTGATGTGTTGGTTTTATTTGTGGACGCCGAGAGGATGGCGCTGCATGTGGCATCTCATCTCTGCGATTCGCACAAGTGCCTTTGAAGCGGTCGATTGCGGGTCATCAAACGGTTGTCACGCACACACCATTACTTTGAGCGGAGAAGGACCCCTCCTGAGCGGGCCACAGTATCAATTTGAGAAGTCTGTGGTAGCGGATCTGTTGAAAAGCTTCAGAAGAAACTGATGCATGCTTCCAGATTTGCGGTTGGTTTGCTGTTTATTTTCAATTATGGACATAAAGCAGTACATGATATGTTTAGTGGATTGGCGCGAACGCAAAACGCTCAGATCTGAGCGTCTCTCGTATAATAACAAAATGTTATCATCGCCGTCAGGGAGCCCACGACCCACTGCTCACTCGTCGGATATTCCGGCCGAGACAGACAAGGCGTCGGCCGCCGCTCCGGTTTACACACAGAGCCGTCCCCGGCCGGCAGCGGACGCCCGGTCCGGTAACGCCACTCAGTCGCCCGTCTGCTGCCCGCGCCCGCTGGAATATTTTAGGTCATTCGTTTGATCTGAAAAATAAATGCTTTGAAACTTTTTGCTATTTTGCAAATTCGCTGCCCAGTGCAATTTCGTGAACCATTGCCTCTGAGATGGATACTGAGTTGCTCGTTGTGGTTGAGCTCAGAAAAGTTTGGAGAGATGCGATCTGTTTTACGTCGCATTTAAATTCTGATTTCATGATAACGAAACAGTCTAATACATGGTGTTCAGTCGTCATATCGAAAGCCGTACAAGCAAGAGGGACTAGGTGCAATGGGATTTTGAATTTCGGGCATGTAAGCATTAAGGTCTGACATTCCCAATCTCAGCCTAGTATTTAGGATATTACCAAGCCTGGATTCAAAACTGTGATACACTGTAGGCGCAGCCACACCGCAGTTTGCGAGGGCGCCAAATGCCCTGTGCATGTAATTTGAACGCCCACCTACCGCAATGTGCAAATTAAATGAAAATTCGGCTCGCGAGCCACGCCTGCATTTTGCAGCGCCCTGTCGTTGCCATCCATCGGGGGATCTCCCAAGCTGGGGAGGGGGGGGGGGGGGGCAACTGACACCGCTTTTGTTAGATCTTTTCTATCAACGTCATTTGAGCTGATGTGAGCATTTATAAACCTGGCGCTCCCCACCACTCGCTTCTGCGTCGCTGCGTCTGATCTATTCTCTAAAGAATCCAATTAGACACCATCAAACACCGCCAGCTGACAGGGCCCCTGTGGCAACAATACACCGCCCGCTGACAGAGCCTCTGTGGCAACAATACACCGCCCGCTGACAGGGCCTCTGTGGCAACAATACACCGCCCGCTGACAGAGCTTCTGTGGCAACAATACACCGCCCGCTGACAGAGCCTCTGTGGCAACAATACACCGCCCGCTGACAGAGCCTCTGTGGCAACAATACACCGCCCGCTGACAGAGCCTCTGTGGCAACAATACACCGCCCGCTGACAGAGCCTCTGTGGCAACAATACACCGCCCGCTGACAGAGCCTCTGTGGCAACAATACACCGCCCGCTGACAGAGCCTCTGTGGCAACAATACACCGCCCGCTGACAGAGCCTCTGTGGCAACAATACACCGCCCGCTGACAGAGCCTCTGTGGCAACAATACACCGCCCGCTGACAGAGCCTCTGTGGCAACAATACACCGCCCGCTGACAGAGCCTCTGTGGCAACAATACACCGCCCGCTGACAGAGCCTCTGTGGCAACAATACGCCGCCCGCTGACAGAGCCTCTGTGGCAGCAATACACCGCCCGCTGACAGTCGTCATATCGTATCGTATCGTGTTGTAGCGGTCATATCGTAACGGTCTTTGTCGAACAGCCCTGTTTTTGCAGTGTCTCCCAAATGCGTGGCTACCCAGCTGGAACGGGCTTGATGTCCCTCTCGGCATGGGGGAAAACGCCGAGCTGCCAGATCCAGAGACAGTCGGCCAGCTCTAGAATACGCTTACCGGGAAGCGGAGCGGTGACGAATTACCTCCGATGCGGGGCTTCCGCCCGCTCACGCCGAAACGTCGCCGCCGGCAACGACAGAACACATGCTGCTGCAATCGCGAATGCTTAACAGCGCAGCCCAGGACAGTGGATTGGGGGAAGGAGGGAGGAGAGGGGACAGTCCCCCTCTCCACGATAAAAGGGATCCGTCTTCGGCGCAAACCGTCACGGTCACCACTCGTCGTCGGCCTGACCCCTAACGACACCAGAGTCGCCGGTGGCCGGCCCACACTCGACGCAGCACGGCAGACGGCGGGCAAATTAGCCACGGACAGACAGCGCCCGGCTTTACGAGTAACGGCCTGGTAACTCGCCTGCCAACTGAGTCCTACAAAACACGGGTCGAAGTTTATCAAACTTTTTCAGCAACATTTGTTTGTTTTTATTGGTTGTTCGGGCCGCCGACTGCACTAGCCATTTTGTGCCCATCTGTTCGCAACAGAACTTTCCTGGGTCATCAGTGGCATGTCTTCTGCAAGAAAGGAACGTTTGTTTGCGACATGAAAAAGCGGCATGGCTGTTGTGCGACGTAGGTAGGAATAAACAATTGGCAGACCTTACCGCCCCCGCAGCGCAAGCCGTGGGGTTCTACCAGCACGGGCACGTGACTTAATAGCGGGTTTTCCCCAAGCTGTGGATGTAGTCCGGGCCTCTGAACAACGGACCTCAGCCCCCCCCCCCCCCCCGTCGCCTCCCGCTGACAACGGACCTCGGCACCCTTTCTGCTGACACCGGAAAGCGGCGGTCCCCTTCCCGCTGACACTGGACCGGGGCGGTCCCCTCCCACTGACACCGGACCACAGGGGTCTCCCCCCGCTGACACCGGACCGCAGCGGTCCCGCTCCCGCAGACACTGGACCGCAGCGGTCCCCCCTCTACTGATACCGGACCGCAGCAGTCCCCCTCCCGCTGGCACCGGACCGCAGCGATCCCCCTCCCGCTGATGCCGGACCGCAGCGGTCTCCCTTCTACTGATACCGGACCGCAGCAGTCCCCCCTCCCGCTGATACCGGACCGCAGCGATCCCCCTCCCGCTGATGCCGGACCGCAGCGGTCCCCCCTCTACTGATACCGGACCGCAGCAGTCCCCCTCCCGCTGACACCGGACCGCAGCGATCCCCCTCCCACTGCCACCGGACCGCAGCGATCCCCCTCCCGCTGATACCGGACCGCAGCGGTCCCCCTCCCACTGCCACCGGACCGCAGCGGTCCCCCTCCCGCTGATACCGGACCGCAGCGGTCCCCCTCCCACTGCCACCGGACCGCAGCGGTCCCCCTCCCGCTGCGTCAGAGCGTGCCCCTGGTCCGGCCCGGACACCTGTGATGAATGGGTGGGCAGACGTTATTGATGCCGCTGTGCAGGGTCTGCGCGTAACGGGTTACAGGCCGCAGGGCGTGCTCATGGGTCGATGCCCCCGGTGTGCCGCCCCGGTGTGCACGCGAATATTAAACCGCACGGATGACTTTCAAGAAAAAGGCTCACGCTGGGTTTTGTAAGTTGGCAGAACTCATGTGCAAACAACAGCCACAATTCGTAAATAGCATTCATGTATTGTCGGTAGATGTCAGTCTTCGAACATACGACGGTCAGGTGAACACCAGCAACACGATCTGACAAATGATGAACATCAGCACCGCGATCTGAAAAAATAATAAATACACGCAACACCGCAGCTGACACTTAAAAAAACAGGGCTCCCGCCAGCGCTAGCACCGCTCGAACACCTTATACAGGTCAGGCAGGTCGGCCACCTGCAGGAAGGTGCTGTCCTCGGCCGAAAACTTGGCCGGTAGCAGCTGCTCCTTCATAGCCGGGAACAACGCGTGCTCCAGCTGCCAACGATCCGTCTCACTGGCGCCACCTGTGGACGGCGTCCAGCTGTAGAACCTGGCGATCTCCCGCGAGATGTCGTGAAGGCAGTCCCGCTCCGAGTCCCAGTTGACCTCCGTGGCGAGGCGAATCAGAAACAGCGGCAGCGCTACGATTGGTGGCTTGAAGTTGTCTGGAAACAGGACGGTAAGATACACATAAGACAACAGGTACAGCAGAATGAAACATGCAGTCTTGCACCTGGCTAACATAAAAACGAACTACGATCAGGTCAGATCGTTCCGGAAACTTGTTCAACGAAACGATCAACAGCCCGGCCGAGTTCGATACCAACCAGGCACCAACCATCGCCCTACCCTGCAGCACTGTCACAGATGCCGGCACCAGTCCATTCCGGTGAAAACAGCGACGAGTCCGCCGACACGGCAGCCCACCGACTCCCGACTCTGCGTCACGCGACCAAAACGCACGCCAAACAAAACAAAGCACACCGCCGCGCGACTCCCCTCAGCGGCCCGGACACTTCTCGCGGCGCAGCCTCGCGCCGTCCGCGATCCCGCGGCACACTGGTGCACGGCTGCGGAGTGACAGCGTACCGAGCAGCAACGGCAGGGCGAGCAGCCGGCCGTCGGCGTCCACCTGCAGCGAGAAGTAGTCGTCGAGCAGCTCTGCCCGCTGCACCAGCAGGTCGGCGATGTAGCCGGCCAGCTCCGGCTTGGGGCCGTCTGCCTCGGTCCAGCCGGCCTCGGCCTGGCCCAGTCCCAGCAGCGCCAGCTCCACCACCGACGGGCTCTCCTGCGGCACCGGACGGCGCGTCAGCGGCGCGCTGATGGGAGGGGGAGAGGGCACGGGAGGCAGCGGCGCGTTAGTGGGAGGGGGAGAGGGCACGGGGCGCAGCAGCGCGTTGATGGGAGGGGGAGAGGGCACGGGAGGCCACGGGAGGCAGCGGCGCGTTGGTGGGAGGGGGAGAGGGCACGGGGCGCAGCGGCGCGCTGATGGGAGGGTGAGAGGGCGTGGGGCGCAGCGGCGCGCTGGTGGGAGGGGAAGAGGGCACGGGGCGCAGCGGCGCGCTGGTGGGAGGAGGACGGGGCACTGATGGAAGGGGGATGGGGCGCAGCGACGCGCTGATGAAAGAGAGACGGGGCGCAGCGGGCGCTGATGGGAGAAAGACGGAGCGCAGCCCCGAGGACGAGATGTCCCTACTTGATGAGCAGTAAAAAAAACCAACAGGCCACCATCGGGCGCACGTTGAAATGAACCCTAAAACGTTCATGGCGGAAGAGGGCTGTCTGGGCGCGGACCTCTTGGGATGAGTTGCGCAACACCAGCCCCTCCTGGAAGCGCCGACAACCCAATCCTAACGAAAGTGCAGTACAGACTGCAAGGCAAACGGGCTGTCTCTGAGCAACCACAGTCTGGTGCTCAACACTGCGATCGGTGCACACCTCCAGCTGCAAGAGGCCGCAGTTTCCGAACTGGAAGAGGCAGATCTGGTAGAAGAGCTGCTCGGCCAGCCGGCGGTGGTTCACCAGGTAGAGGCGTGTCTGGTGCTGCAGCAGGCTCAGCTCGGCCGTGGCCACGCCCACGAACGTGTGCTCGGCCAGCAGCTGCCGCAGCGTGCCGTGGCAGGCGGCCTCCACATCACCGCGCAGCGACTGCACCGAGGTCAGTTGCACGTCCCGGCTAGGGGAGGGGGAGGGCGGGGTCAGTGCCGCGTCCCGGGCGGGGTCCACTCCCGCCACCGAGGCTTGAACTCGGAGGTGACGGTCAGATGGTACACATGGCGACGCGTGAGGATACGTTCGTCCTACGCTCGTTTGTCTGTTCACTTATGGCGCAACTGCAGTACGGTTCCAGCAGACACGTCAGATGCAGCTGCTGGTTTGGCTTCACAGCGCTAAAGCAACATTGGAATCCCGATTGGGAAGCTAGTTCCAGCAGACATCGCAACGCTGTTAATTCTTTACACCGGTTTTAGGGTATTCAAAATTTAAAGGAAATGTTAACAGACACGACGAAAGGACAGCTACCGCGAGCAAAAGCAACAAAGGAAACAAAAAAGTTGAGTGACTGAAATGGTTACAAACAGTATGCTCGTACGACAAGTGCTCTGAAGCGGCCAACACGAGTCACATCTGCCACCACCAAGCCGGAGAGCCCCGCCGTGCGGGCCTTCACGCCCTCTGCCGGCTCTCCCACCTGCCGTAGGAGGCGGCCGCGGCGGCTGGGGCGGCCGCGGCGGCCGGACCGTCACCGTCGCCCTCCTCCGGCGCCGGCGCAGCCCTAACGAAACGGTCCAGCTTCTGGTCGCGGTGGCTGGTGCGCACCGTCTGCTGCGGCCGGGCGGCGTCCGGGGCAGGGCTGTCGGCCGGCGCCGCCGCCGCGCCCGGCAGCAGGGTCTGCCAGAGAGGGCAGGGGCGGTTAGAGGCGGCACCGGAGAGGAGTCGGCCGAAGGCCTGGCCCGTCCGACGGTGGAACAGGGGCGGTGGGCGACGGACGGGAGGTATGCGGCACTTATGGGTTGTAGAGGTAGGGACTGTCTCAGACAGTGAGCAAATTGTGAGTGCATCTGCAAAGTACGTGCATTTAAAAAAGATAAGTAAATTGAGGCCGATTTCATGAGCAACAGAACGCACACAGAACGCATGAACAAACTGACAAACTCTGCATGCTAACGTTACCGTGCCTCGAGGGCAGAGCCCGGCCACGCAGCGACCCGGTTGCGCTCCCGAGAGGCGTCTCACGCTAACACACGCAAGTCATCCGATTAACCAGGCAATAGCCAACGTTTGCTACCCCACGGACCGACACAAACGTGGGTGCGCAGCGGCCCGACCACCACGCGGCTGCCCGTCACCTGGGTGTAGAAGGTACGGGCGGCGGACGTTCCCAGCAGCACCGAGTCCACCTTCTTCTGGATCAGCTCTATGATACGGTCCTCGTGCAGGAAGTGGACCTACCACAACAACGATCGTCGGTCAGGGTCGCGTCAGTGGCTTCCAGTGTAGGATGTCATGGTTGACGTCAACACGCAGAGCAGCACAGTCAGCTCACAGATGCACTCGCCCCATCTCGCGCACACCTCCACGGTGACCACGGACCGCAGCCGTCCACCGACCGCACCCGCGCCTCACCTGGTTCTTGGTGGGGTGCACATTCACGTCCACCGTGTCCGGGGACAGCTGCAGACTCAGGTAGACGAATGGCTGCGCGTGACGCGGCAGGAACGCGCCATACACCTGCTCCAGCGCCTTCCGCAACGCTGCGGAGATCGGTCGGTCAGCACGGCACGACGACGACAGCAACTGGAACCGGTCTGTCAGGCACTGTCGGCCGCTGGGGCTGGCGTCAGCTGTCAGTCGCTAGGTCGCTAGGGCCGGTGTCAGCTGTCGAGATGTCAGTCGCTGGGGCCGGTGTCAGCTGTCGAGATGTCAGCTGCTGGGGTCGGCGTCAGCTGTCGAAATGTCAGTCGCTGGGGCCGGTGTCAGCCATCAAAATGTCAGCCGCTGGGGCCAGTGCCGGCTGTCGAGATGTCAGCTGCTGGGGCCGGTGTCAGGTGTCGAGATGTCAGCCGCTGGGGCCGGTGTCAGCTATAGAAATGTCAGCCGCTGGGGCCAGTGTCAGCTGTCGAGCTGTCAGCCGCTGGGGCCGGTGTCAGCTGTCGAACTGTCAGCCGCTGGGGCTGGTGTCAGCTGTCGAGCTGTCAGTCGCTGGGGTTGGAGCTGGAGCCAGTGCCTGATGTCAGGCACTGTCAGACACTGGAGTCGGGGCCACCTATCGAGCTGTCAAACGCTGGGGTCGGTTTCAGACGTCAGGCACTGTCAACCGATACGTTGACAGGCACCAGCCTGAACGTTACACAAAGCTGCATTGCTGGGAAGTTCAAATAACGTCAGCTCCTATCACATCACAGCAGGATGAATATGATTTTTTGCAGTTGGGGAATGCAGCTCAACTTACCATTCACGTTAATGTAGGCAACATCTCTCTAAGGTTTGCTTAAAGGGAGTGTTCCACATTCATATGGATTTTTGAACTGAAATAGCCATCTTGAATACCTTTCGGTGCAGTTCACAGCCCTGCTGTTTCTAAGACCTAAACCTCTCTAGCTTCTGAGCTACACGTCCTCGAAAATAAGGAGGGTATTGCGGGAGAGCATTCCATGTTACCTTGACATTAAAGACGTCATAATAACGTCATTCAAATCCTACCGTTTCACAAGCTATGCGGCGATGAACGTCACGAAAAATATAACGGCATATTCTTTCCTATCTGACGATCATGAACACGATTAAAAGATATGACAGCGTCAATTGGCTCTCGGTCAATACTGTGTAAGGTACGATGACGTAGTCAAACAATGACACATCAAGGAGCATATTCACTAAACAGAGATCTGTGTTGTCTAGAGCAGTCTTTTCTAATTGAAAGTATACCAGTAGATATAAGTGAACTTGCACTATCATATCTGATGTTTCTTCAAAATCTTCGAATGCGAAACATGCCGTTTAATTTGACAATGGAACAGGGCGCCAAAGCCAGCCCCGACACACACCAGTAGACTCCACCAGACGGTGGTTGATGAAGAGCAGCATCGTGAACTTCTTGGCCGAATAGTTGACGTTGGAGACGTAGCCATCCACCTTCAGCTTCAGGGAGGCTTCCTCCAACGTGACCTCCAGCAGGTCCCTGAACAACAGCGTCCGGAAAATATGACAATTCGCGGAATATACATAGGTTGTGATACGATATTATGTGATATGTGGAATATCCATAGGATGTGATATGATATGATATATGGGAATATCCATGGGAAGAGCTACATTCAGCATCTTATAAATGCCAGACAACGACAACTAAAATGACACAACATTATGACGACGATTGGACGTGCTTCATTCGATCAACATGGGACTCGCGGAACTGAACGCCTAAAACAGCATTCGGCACAGACTCACCTGGCCACAGCAGCCCCGTACACGACACGTATGTTGTCCAGCGCGGAGGAGGCGGGCGGCGTACGCAGGTACACGCTCGTCTCGCCCTGCTTCTTCAGCGTAAAGCCCACGCTGCTGTTGTGGATGGCGTAGCGGTTCATCTGCCGTCAGAACACGGCAGTCGTGCTGAGATGATGTGGGTCGGATCCACCGCGTCAGGTGCGTGAGAGAAGACAGATGTTACGGGCTGAAACTTGCATACTTCAACCATCGCCGCACATTAATGTTGGTAACAAGGGCTTTCACGGCATAATATGCCCGAGTAGTGTCGTTATCAGTGTCCTCGTTAAGCAGAAGCACCGCCTGTTACGTCGACGCTCCAACCCCTGTGCAAGTGGTCTCCCAACTGCACCTCCATTTTCACCGGCCTTATCGCCACATGCTCGTAATAATGGCGACTTATACAGTGCAATATGAATCACTGTATTGCAGTCAGCCACCTATACAATAAGTGAACGCATTGAGCACCACTCCAGCCAGCCCTGCCGCTCTCCGACACATTTACGAGATCAGCACGCGACCCTCTCGGGGTCGACCTCGGCCCTACCTCCACCCCACATGCGACGGCGCACTCACCACCTCAGCGACCTTGTTGAACTCCTCAGCGGGGCTGCGCAGCGCCTGTCGACGCGCCGCCATGTTGAAGAACAGGTCCTCCACCAGGATCTGCGTGCCCGTGTTGCCGGCGCAGGGTCGGGGCTCCTCACACAGCTTTCCGTCCGTGTAGCGCGCCCTGCGGCCAGCGCGCCGCATTTCTCACACAACGCTCCGGTGTACGAGCTTTTTGCCCACCTTTAGCACACCGCAACGGCGCGAACTCGGGCTCTGTGACGTCATCGAGCGGTCCAGCAGGTGTGACCTTGGGCTGGATGCTGCTCGGACCACCCACACAAGCCTCCGCACCGCTGCGCCGCCGTACACACGAGTCGAGCCCCAGAGGCGGTCACCCCGTCCACGCGCCGCCAGGTCGCGGCCGACCGCCGCCGCACCCACCGGTAGGCGCACTTGGAGTCGGCGATGCGGGTGGTGATGGTGAGGTGGGCCACATGCGTGATGCTGGCCAGCGCCTCGCCGCGGAAGCCGTACGTGCCGATCTTCAGCAAGTCATCAAACTTGGTCAGCTTGCTGGTGGTGAAGCGCTCGCACACCAGGCCCAGGTCCTCGCGGCGGATGCCTGAGTGGAATCAGTGGTGGGGTTGTCAGGGGAAGATGTAAGACAGCTCAGCAGTGAGGCTCTTAATGAGATGTTCTGAAGCAGCCCAGCAGATGATATAGGCACACACACTTTGATGAGCCCAATGACCTGCATGCAACAGGATGGGCCAGGCAAAATCTATAGTAATGAGTTGGGCTTCAGGGAATGTTGACTGTATGGTCAGCAATGCAGTGACTGACTGCAAAGAGTACCTGAGCCATTGTCCTGTATTTGTAGAGTCTTGAGTCCTCCATCTTTGACAGTCACAATGATGCTTGTTGATTTTGCATCCAGACTGAAAAGCAAGCATGCTTGGTGAATATGACAACTACCTAACCAAACCATAAAGGAGGCTTTGTAAAGCAGGCTTCACCTGGCAGGCTTTTTGCCAAGCAGACTGTGTCTAGACAACTACTTACATCATTGGGGTGCAAAATCTTCAATTGGATAATAAAAACAATCACACATTGGTTATCATTACCATTTACAAGGTGATCAGTTACACTTTCACAAAAAGTAATGACCAAAGGCTGGAAAATTGACCTAAATGTTAGCCTGCAATTCTCTTTGGTCCTGACTGAGACCTAACCTTGTGATTGCAATAGGCAGACAATTCAAATTGCACTACCAGGTCTACAAATGATTGCACACACTTCCACGCCTGCACAAACAATTCCCAATACAACAAGTAGAAGTTCACTGAAGATGAGAGACAATGGAATAGTTTTATTAACAAGCTAGGTCAGTCAGAGAGAGAACATTCCCACCTGTTCTCCAGCAGCTCCTTGAGTGCATTGGCTGGCCGCTGCACTACCTCACCAGCAGCAATCCTGTTGACAACTGTTTCATCAAGACGTTTGATGGCTGAAGCAGCTGGCACCTCCATTTGGCATTTTTTTGCCTGGCCCTTGTAGTACCTGAATTGGAATCAAAAGGAGAAAGTCACCATAAGAAAATTGCAACACAGCAATGTCAGTATGATGTACTCACTGCTAGCTGTGTGTTTATCAGATGATACAGATCAGCTAGGTTATCAAAGCTGAATTTAAAAAAGGCGGTTTTCTTCAAGTACTTCACCTTTTTTAGAAGCCTACCATAGCCTTCATTTGCAAAGGCTCTCCGTTCACGATCAGTGCAATATATGCCATCCACGCCACAAAAAACAGAACTCTGCACCTTTACTAGGTTTTCCCCACAAGCACTTACATATACTTACTACTCGCATCTAACGCCTGCCCACGCCTATGTCCACAGCTGATTGAATGCCACGACGAAACCACAACAAAGCTAGACTTCAGCATATTCTGGCGCCCTCAATTTTTACCGGAGGCCGCCATTTTCCAAATACTTTACTATTTTACTTTTAATTTGCTTTTTCGTTTTGGCGATAGATATGGAAAATTTTTACGTATGAAATTTTTCAGTCTTGAATTTTACTAGAATTCATAATCCTTAAAAAATATCTAAAGTGGTTTGTCATCAGTCCTAAAAGTAATATATGCAAATGATATAATATATTCTTGATTACACCTCAGCAGCAGAAGCTGTAAACAATTAAAGCCATGTGCTGGCGCCGTTGGTAGAAAACTGCACATGTGGGAGTTGCTTTGGCCAATCACGCATTTGGAATGCGAACACAAGTTTTGGGCTCCTTTTCTTTGCAGTACGGATGTAGCTTTGTGAATCAAAGAAAGCAGGGATTGTGCCTAGGGCGGTGGGTTGTTGCACTAAAATTGCCTGCCACCATTTGTACGCCACCCCTGCTGTCGAGAACAGACTTCTGGAATTCGCTGGTGCGGCGTGCTACAAGAAAGAAAAATAACAACAGCTTGTGACACATCGAGAGGTCGTTTGGAGGGGCCGCGTAGAATGCCAAGTGAACCCTTTATCTCCCCTCCATAATTCCACCAGTGTATAATGCGCCTGAATACGTACGATTTCGCCGATATTGCTACAACCATCAGCCTGCTACTCCAATTCATGGAAAGGGTAGCGCCTGCTTGTATTGGAACTTACGTTAACTCAAAAATGGTTCCTTCAAATCATGATCTATCTTGTCGGCAGTACAGGAGAATGGCTACTGCCGGCGGGCGACGGCCTCGGACGCGCCAGAAATCACTGCAGCTCTTGCCGTCTCCTGTTCAGGAAGACATCAGAAGTGGTACAAACATCACGTCGGTGGCGCAGTGTGTCAAGGAACTGGTCAGTGGCGAGTATTCTGCTTCTCTCAAGCCCCTGTATCGTCTACTGCTTTGATTTGGTATGTATGGCTTTGCTTTGATTTGGTATGGCTTTCATGGCCAATCAACAACCGAATGTACCGTCAAAAACATAAGCGATGTGCTTACCAAGATGGTTTGTGTTGTGACGTTTTCAGCTTACGAAAGTGAGGTCGGTACGAACAAAACTCCGACGGCGGCCCGAGCACGTGCCGCCACTGACCCGTCCGTTAGCTTGTGCGAACCATTTCACAGCGAGCATTGATTAGGTGCCAAAACATAACCGGCAATACGATAGCTCACGATAGCTCAACGGGGTCGGATCTCGCGCATACTCAAATTGGGAAATTTTTGGAAATACGCTGCTCGTATGCGGCTGACCGATGCTTCTGCGAACAGGTGCGGAACGCGTTAGATGCCGATGCCACGTGCGTGGCTGCCCGGGTGAACCTGCCGCTTATGGAGGTGCAGGTGATCGACAACGGCACTGGCATGACCGCCGAGCACCTGGCTCTTGTGGGCGACAGGTCAGCGGCAGGGGCAACCGAAAATGTTAACTGGATGAGTCGAGTGTCAAACGCATGAAGCGTTCTGCTGATAAATCTGTTTTGGAGAGCATCGACTGCCATGACACTCTTTGCACCAACATTGTCAGCGTAATGTCATGTCAGGGGATTCGTGAAGCTTTTTTACTTTGAACCCAGCTGAACCGACACGTACTTTATGCGTTAAATGTGATGCCCGTGCACTGTAAAATGTCTACGCACGTGGGTTTGGGCGAGCCTCGAAACCTGGCTTCACGCTGTCATGCCGCTTGAACATGGCGCCACTGTTGGTGCGCGCCAGCGGTGTTGGTGATATCGAAGTCCCGTAGTTTAGTTTTGTGTAGATTTTGAGATTTAGAATTAGATGACGCTGGCTTCCAATGTCCCACGCAAAAGCCATGGATAGCGCGCATTACGTAAATTGTTTAATCGCCAGTACTGATCAGCTAGACAGACTGATCTGGCGCACGCTGTTCTCTGAATGCGTCGCTGAGCGGCAAGTTCATTCGCTTTGCAGTGTAACCCTTTGAGGAGAGGCGACAGCCCGGTGACCTTGTATTGTAGGAGACTGGAGTCGCTTAAATTCAGTCGGAAAAAAGTTCGAGACTCCGCCAACCATTCCTTCATAATGATTCGGTAAGCGTTTCGAGAGATGTCTTCGAAAAATTCGAGAGTTTTACCGTTCTTCCGTTCATCATACGCAGCGCCGAATCCACATATGTCATCGCACGACCCGACACGCCGTGTCCGCCTCAGCCGCCACAAGTCCATCACCGACCCTGACATCGCGTCCGCAGGTACCTGACAAGCCGCGGCGGCGGCGCCGGTCGGCCCGCCGCCGGCGCGTTCGGCTACCGAGGCGAGGCGCTGGCGAGCGTGGCGCGCGTCAGCTGGCGGCTGGAGCTGACCTCGCGCCGCCGCGGCTCGGAGCGCACCTGGAGCCGGCGGCTGGGCCTGGCCGGTCGGACAGCCGTGGTTCGGGCGGCGCGGCGCCGACCCAGCGCCGGCACTACTGTCAGCGTGCAGGGTCTGCTGTCGGGCCGGCGCGCCCGCTGCCGCCCCACGGAGCTGGAGAGTGTGTGTCACGCCGTGGAGGGCCTGGCGCTGGCGCGGCCCGAGGTCTCCTTCAGCCTGCGCGACGACGACGCCGGCCTGATGCTGATCGACGCCGCGCCCCGCGACACCGTGCTGCGACGCTACTGCGACCTGATACAAACGGAGCCGGCGGCGGCGGTGGCGCGGCCCCTGGCGGCGCGCCGCGGTCATCTTCTCGTCGAGGGGTTCGTCGCGGCCGGCGGCAGCCAGTGGGTGTTGGTAAACGGGCGTGTTGCCGGCCGCAGCCGCCTGCACCGCCTGGCAGCACGGCTGCTGGAGAGCCTACGGCCAGCGCGGCCCGACGGTGCCGCCAGCCCGCCCCGCCGGCTTGGTTTCGTGCTGCTGCTCAGCTGTCCGGCTGACCAGTGCACGGTCGTCTACGACCCGGACGAGGACCGCGTGGAGTTCGTCGACTGGGAGCGCGCGCTGAGCGCCGTGGAGCGAGCGGTGCTGGACTGCGTAGCCGACGCGGCGGCGCAGATGGACGGAGCCGGGCCGCCGCCGGCGGAAGTGAAGCCACACTCGCAGGCCGCGCCGGCCGGCGACACCTGCTTCATCGACCGGGTCGAGGCGCGCCACGGTCGTCGGGTGGCGCGGCCCGGGAGGTCGGCGGGCGGCGGCGCGGAGCCGGCGCCGGAGAGCTCGCCGCCGTCCGAGCCGGAGACGGTGACCGGCGTCGGAGGACTGACGAGACTGCGCAGGAGGCGGGCGACGCTGAGCGTCGAGCGGGAGGAGAGTTTCGAGCGGGAGGTCCCGGAACAGGAGGTAACTGACACTACCTCGAAACAGGAGGCGAATGACACCACCCAGGAACAGGAGGCGAATGGCACCACCCAGGCACAGGAGGCGAATGACACAAACATGGGACAGGCGGACAATGACACTGCCTGGAGGCGCGATGCCCAGTCTGAAACGCGTGGCCAAAAAACTCATCTGACTCATACTCTAGAAGGGTATCCGCGCAGCTCTCAGAAAGATTGTCTGAGGGATTCTAGCGACGCTCCGCCCGTCGCAGATTTGCCTCCGCCGAGGGCAAGGGGCATTCATCCCCCGCGTAAGCCGGTATATCGAGGGAGTTTGGACCTTCTCCGGCAGCGCGTGCTGGACGCTGACCAGTGGGACCTGCGGAAGCCCAGCCCGACCAGAGACGTGTATCGGACGCCGCGCAGCGCCGGCCACCGCCGGCCACTCTCGCCGCCCCCGTTGAAGCGGCTCAGGCTGGCCGACTCGCCGCCATCGCGGGCCTCGACCTCCCTGCCGCCCGGCGTCAGGCGGCCGCTGGCCGAACTGTTCGGCGCCGCGCCGCCGATCCGGCGACCGGCCGCTCCGGCTGGTCGGACCTGCCACCGCACGGCTGAAGGTGTTGGCGGTGCAATGAATGGCGGGAGGGCAGCGCCGCCGGCGGCCGGGCCGGACGGGGAGGCGGTGTTCCGCGCGCCCCATCCGGTCAACGCGTGCGGTCGGGCCCTGGGTCGGGTCGCGGATGGGAATAGCCTGCTAGGTCACGACTCCGAAGCGAGCAGGCAGAAGGTCTATACGGATCAGAGCGGGCTGGCGGGGCTGGCTGAGAGGCCTCAACGCCCGGACGAATGTCTTAGCACGGAAGCTATGTCGGGCGAGGCGACACAGAGTGTAAATCTCTTGTCGCCTCGCGGAGTTAGAGGAGGCGGGTCAGACCGTCATGCTGTAGAGAGCCGTTCCTCTGCAGGTAATCACATAGCAGCAGCAGCGCACACCAAGACCAGTGGTCATCCTGACCAGGAAGTGTATCTGTCTGCAGGTAGACTCGACGTACCGTCCCACCGGTTCATGACATCCACGCCATTCTCCGGCGATAGTAATTTCACCGTTGTACCCGTCTCTCGCTGCGCTGCTCACCGCGCCCTGGACCACGCAAGGCCGCCCGTCCCTGGTACACGTGTCTTGACGCCGGCGTCCGCCCATGCCACCCAGCGGCGGGCCGCGCGAGACGAGGAGAGCTTTGCTCTCGCTCCGGTCTTCCACTGTGACGTCATCGCCGCCCCGGATCGAGTGCCGAGCAGGGGTGACAACCTCGCCATGGTCCCTGAGCGTCGAAGTGACGCCACTCCCGCTGTCGGTTGGCTGACGTCAGGCAGACGGGTGGCGTCTAAACTAGCCACAACTGCCGCGAGCTGGGAAGGTCAAGAGCCAGCGGCGACCGTGTCCTGTAGCGTCATGGCGCCAGATGGTTTGTCGATGACATCATCTGGGACCGCTCAATCTAGGCGCTTCGATTGGCCCACGGCTTCTGTGGGAACACACGGTTCGCTGACATTGGTGTCCAGCACGGACACCTCTGCCGCTGCCCACCGGCTGGCATCCAGCACAAGTGAGCAAGCCAACATGAATTCTGCCATGACGGGACTGTACAGCCATCGTGTCATCC